CATTCGTTTCTATTATCAGATAGTATAAAATATTTCCTTCCATTCCTATTTTTTATTCTAGGTATTTTTTATTTTTGTTTTTTTTATGATTATTATATTCATACATTGTTTGGGTCATTTCTCCCACTAACCCCAGTCTCCCCTCTGTCCCCCACTGCCCCCCTTGCTTCCAGGCAGAACCTGTTCTGAGCTTTTCTCCAATTTTGTTGAAGAGTAGAATAAGCAATAATAAGAAAGACATAATGTTTTTGCTAGTTGAGATAAGGACAGCTATACAGAGAGATTCCTAGCATTGCTTCCATGTACAAATGCTTACCAACCCAGGATGATTCCTCTCTAACTGATCTTACACCGGTTCTGAAAACTTCTTGTGTTGACCTCTGTTGCTTTAAGGTTTCTTATTAGTTCCTCAGGAAGTGGGGACATCAAATATGCTTTCATGTTTTGGATTTTTCTACTAAACCCCATATCTCCCCATATATTTCTCCCCTTGTCATGTACCTAAGTTCTACAACATTGCTGTATTTGCCCCTAGATCTAAAGGCCACATAGGAGGGATAACATACGATTTTTGGTCTTCTGAGTCTGGCTAATCTCGCTCAGAATGAGGTTCTCCAGTTCCATCCATTTACTTGAAAATTATAAGATTTCATTTATCTTCATGGCTGAGTAGAATTCCTTTGTGTATAAATACCACATTTTCTTGATCCATTCATTAGTAATGATGCCTCTTGGTTGTTTCCATAGCTTGTCTATTATGAATAGTGCTGCAATAAACATGGGTGTGCAGTGCCTTGGAGTAAACCTGTAATCACATTCCTTTGGGTATATTTCCCCAGGAGTGGGATTGCTGATCATACAACATATCTGTGAATAGATTTTTATGAAGCCTCCAAATTTTTTTTCCTGAGTGGTTGAACTAGCTTGCATTCCCACCAGCAGTGTATGAGGTTTCCTTTTTTATCACATCCCCACCAACACTTGTTGTTGGTGGTGTTTTTGTTGATGGCTACTCTAACAGGGGTGAGGTGGAATCTTAGTGTGGTTTTGATTTGCATTTCCTTTATGGCTAGAGATGGTGAGCATTTTTTTCATGTGTTTTTTGGCCATTTGAATTTCTTCTTTTGAGAAAGTTCTATTTAGTTCAGTTGCCCATTTCTTAATTGGTTCATTGATTTTGGGAGAGTTTAGTTTCTTAAGTTCCCTGTGTGTTCTGGTTATCAGTCCTCTGTCTGATGTATAGCTAGCAAATGTTTTCTCCCACACTGTGTGTGGACTCTTTAGTTTAGAGACCATTTCTTTTGTTGTACAGAAGCTTTTTAATTTTATGAAGTCCCATTTGTCCATTCTTTCTCTTAGTTGCTGGGCTGCTGGGGTGCTATTGAGGAAGTCCTGGCCTATACCTATTAGTTCTAGAGTGTTTCCTGGTCCTTCCTGTATTAATTCAGAGTTTTGGGTCTAATATTAAGGTCTTTGATCCATTTTGAGTTGATACTAGTAGAGGGTGATAGACATGTATCTAGTTTTAGTTTCTTGCAGATGGATAACCACTTTTCCCAGCAGCATTTGTTGGAGAGGCTGTCTTTTCTCCATTGTGTATTTTTGGCCCCTTTGTAAAACATAAGGTGGGTATAGTTGTGTGGATTCATACCTGGGTCCTCTATTCTGTTCCACTGCTCTTCATGTCTGTATTTTTTCAAAGAACCAGCTTTTTGTTTCACTGATTATTTGTATGGTTTTTTTTTTATTGTTTCTATTTCATTGATTTCAGCCCTTGTGTTTATTATTTCTCTCCAGCTTGTTTTGGGATTTGCTTGTTCTTGTTTTTCTAGGAGTTTGAGTACAGCATTAGGTCAGTGATTTGAGATCTTTCTGACCTTTCAATATATGCACTCATGGCTATAAACTTTCTTCTTAGGACAGCCTTTGCTGTATCCCATAGGTTCTGGTAGGTCATGTTTTCATTTTCATTAACTTCCATGATCCTTTGAATTCCTCTTTTATTTCATCAATGACCCATTGATCAATGAGCAATGTATTGTTCAGCTTCCAATTATTTACATGTTTTTTAGTGCTGTTTTTGTTGTTGATTTCTAGTTTTAATGCATTGTGGTCAGATAGAATGCATGGGATTATTTCTATTTTCTTTTATTTTCTGAGGCTTGCTTTGTGCCCTAAGATATGATCAATTTTGGAGAAGGTTCCATGAGCTGCTGAGAAGAATGTATATTGTGTAGAAGTTGGATGAAATGTTTTGTAGACATCAGCTAGGTCCACTTGGTCTATGGTGTGATTTAGTTCTAGGATTTCTTTATCAATTTTTTGTTTGGATGACCTATCCCTTGGTGATTGGGGAGGGGGTATTAAGGTCTCCCACTATCACTGTGTTGGAGCTTATATATGCTTTTAGGTCCTTTGGAGTATGTTTGATGAAATTGGGTGCATTGACGTTGGGTGCATATAAGTTGATAATTGTTATTTCCTTTTGGTGTATTTCCCCTTTTATTAGTATACAGTGTCCTTCTTTATCTTGTTTGATCAATGCAAGTTTGAAGTCTACTTTATCTGAGATAAGTATTGCTACCCATGCCTATTTATGGGGGCCATTGGCTTGATAGATCTTCTTCCGGCCTTTCACTCTCAGCCAGTGCTTGTTTCTGTCGATGAGGTGGGTCTCCTGTAGGCAGGAGATTGTTGGATCTTCCTTTTAAATGCAGTGTGCCAATCAGTGTCTTTTGATGGGGAATTAAATCCATTGTTTAGTGTTAGTATTGATAGGTATGTGGTGATCCCTGTCATTTAGTTGTCTTTGTTGTTTAAGGGCTTGATTGTGTGCAGCTGAATCAGTGTTACTTTCTACTTTCTTGCCTTTTCTTCTCCTGTGGTTTGGAATTGCCTGCCCTTTCATGGTTTTGTTTGCTTTCATTTTCTGTATGCAAAATTCTTTGGAGAATCTTTGTAGTGGTGGCTTGGTGGTCATATATTCTTGTGGTTTCTGCTTATCATGGAAGACTTTTATTGCTCCATCTATTCTGAATGATAGTTTTGCTGGATAGAGTATCCTAGGGTTGATGTTATTTTCATTTAGTGCCCGGAAGATCTCACTACATGTTCTTGCTTTGAAGGTTTCCATGGAGAAATCTGCTGTGATTTTGATGGGTTTACCTTTGTATGTTATTTGTTTTTTCTCTCTTACAGCCTTCAATATTCTTTCTGTAGTCTCTGTGCTTATTGTTTTAATAGTAATATGTTGTGTGGTAGTTCTATTTTGGTCAAGTCTGTTTGGTGTTCTGGAGGATTCCTGTACCTGGATGGCCATAATTTTCTCTAGATTTCAGAAATTTTCTGTTATTATTTTGTTGAATATATTACACATTCCTTTTGCCTGCACCTGTTCTCCTTCTTCAGTACCCATGATTCTCAAGTTTAGTCTTTTAATGGAGTCAGTGAGTTCTTACATATTCCTTTCACAGGTCTTGAGTTGTTTGACTAATAGTTCTTCAGTTTTTCCTTTAATTACCATTTCATCTTCAAGTTCTGAGATTCTGTCTTCTGTTTGTTCTATTCTGCTGAAATGACCTTCCATTTTGTTTTGTATTTCTGTTTCATTACTTTTTCTGAAGTTTTCCATATTGTGGGTCACTTCCTCTTTAATGTTGTCAATTTTTGTTTTTAATTCATTTATCTCTCTATTTATTGTATTTTCTGTTTCATTTTGGTTTTTATTTAGGACTCCCATGATTTCATTTATTTGTTTTTCTGTTTTCTCATATTCTTTATTTTTGTCCTCATGGAATTTCTTGAGTGCCTCTTGTACATTTTGGTTGACCATGTCTAATAACATCTCCATGAAATTCTCAGTGATTACATGCAGGATTTCTTCTTTCAGCATGTTCTTGTGGGCGTCCTTGGGTTCTTTGGCATAGCTTAGCTTTTTTTGTTGGAATCTGGATCTGGATATCTGTTTTCTTCATTTCCCTCTGAATCCTGTACTAATTTATTTGGGGGTGGAGAATGGTTTCCATCCCTTTTTCATCTTCCCATATTTCCACTTGGTACCACTTCTGTCCCTGGGCTATGCGTAATTTAGTGTTAGCTGAGTTACAATAGTGAAACTAACAAAACCAAGGAAGAAAGAGAATATAGAGAAAGAAAGAGAAATAGAAGGAAAAAAAAAGAGAGTACCAAGGAAAACAGCAGGGAGAGATGGTGGATGATCAAAGAGCAAACCAGACAGTCAAACCTTTAAAGGAAGGCAAAAATAAAATAAATAAATAGATAATAAAATTTTTTAAAAAGTCACCAGTTCAGCAACAGTGGATTTTCAGTCTTAGTTGTTCTGCTGTTACTCCTTTAGCATCTGGACCTGTCTGTGTCTCCTAGGCAGGTTTGTAGCCTTAGTGTGGTGGGTGACAGGTGGGTGGGGTCCCACGGGCCTGCAGGGGAGGACTGTCACTGAAGCACTCTAGTGGGCTTTTGGAGCATGGGCCTCATGTGTCTGGGGGTGCGGGCCTGGCAGAGTGGAGATCATGAGTGCTTGTGGATCACCAGCCTGGCAGTCCTGAGGGGCCTGGTGGAGATGTGCATGCCTGTGGATTGCTGGCATGGCAGGCCTGAGGGGCATGACCCAGTGGAGATCATGCAGGCCTGTGCAGGCCTGAGGGGCTTGATCCCGGTGGAGATCATGTGTGCCTATGGATCGTTGGCCTGGCAGGCCTGAGGGGTGCCCCATTCCTATTTTTTAAGTGTACTTTTCCTTTCCAAGTTTAGATTTACATATATTAAAATTTACCCTTTTTAGGTGTCCAGTTTGGTGAAATAT